GGTCTTTTTGAGACAGGGTCTCCCTGTAGCCCCACCTGGCCTGGAACTCCCTATGTAGACCAGGCTGGCCTGGAACTCACAGAGATCCGCCTGCCTCTGCCTCCCAAGTGCTGGGATTAAAGGCATGAGCCACCAAACCCGGCTCATTGCTGATCAGATCTTAAAAGGCCAACTCATCCCCTCCCTCCACTTTATTTTCCAGTGGACAATTACTGCTCATCTGCCACTGTGGGTGAGCAAGTGGTCTCAGAAAGTCCATGGCCTAGTAGAGGACTTTGATCTGACAATACCATTGAGATAAGAGTCAATAGAAGACAGTAGAAACAGGCGCATAGGCTTTGAAACCATGCCACCTGACTGAATTCATTTTCTAGCTGTGTGTCCTGAGCCCAAGTTGTTTTGCGGCTCCATGCCTCAGTTTCCTCATCCATAAATGGGCATATTCCAGGACACTGGAATCAATGATCAATACAAGCAGAGAACTTACTAAGTATTCAAAACACACTGGCTGTTATTATATGTACAATAATAGATAATTGTACAAGGTACAGGGATTGATCTGGCAGTGCTGAGGTTGGCTAGGCATTTTTTTAGATAGGGGAAACTGAGTCCCAGAGAAGTAGAGTGACTTGTCCTGGGACAGATAGCACAATCAGGATTAGAACTCAAGTTTATAGTGTCATTGTAAAACTTTAGGGGGTATCATTCCTTTATTCTATAAAGCGAATGGTCTCCTGAGAGAATTGCGATATGATGGCCCTTCTTCCCACCAGCCTCACCCATCTTTGGACAAGGAGATGAAGATAAAGCTGGCTGAGGTGGGAGGCCATGGCTCCTGCCAGCCAGAGGCATAGCCAGGTTCTTACTCTCCTAAGCACAGGGGACTAGGAGAGCTCATTTGCATGAATCTACCATCCTTGACTGTCTTCCTCATGCGTCCCATGGCCTGGCAAGACCAATGTCCTCCAAGGTCTTTTTGTGATTGTCTTAACTATCAGGTTAACACAGTATCTTTAAATATATATATATATTAAAATCCTCTTTGGGGGAATGTACCTGAGATTTCTACCTCCCCAGACCCCCTACTATGTCCCCTAGCTTCTTTGCTGCTGTTGCCCCCCACCCATATTTACTGGTCTTTCTTCTTGGAGGGGCAGGTGGAAGGCACCCAGTTGCCAGAAACACATCTGAGACGGGAATTAGCTGCTCTCTGGGTCAGCAGGGTTTGCACATGGCTCTTGCCTGGGACAGAAATAGCCTCCTCAGGCAAAAGGGGGAGGGGTGAAGGAGGGCAGTCACACTCCCTGGGGGCTCTGTGGGGTGGGATACCCATGCCCTAGTCACTTCCCCTTCTTTACAATAACCCAGAGGAAGTGACCAAGTGGCATGGATACTGGTGGCATGGGTCCCCATGAACCCTGGCAGGGTGCCCTGGTGCCCTCTGGCAAACACCTGTCCCTCTCAGGCCTGGAAGGGGGAGGGTTGAGGGGGGTGAAAGGGGACAGTGCCCGAGGAGTCGCACACGCTGTTGCACACTGTCTCCCTGGGCTGCTGCAAGCCCTCTGAGCAAATTGGAAGAGTTACAGAGTTGGACTGGAAAAGAGAATCAGTAGTGTGCATGCCTGTATGAGTGCCTCTGTGTGTGTGTGTGTGTGTGTGTGTGTGTGTGTGTGTGTGAGAGAGAGAGAGAGAGAGAGAGAGAGAGAGAGAGAGAGAGAGGTGTCAGGGGTGACAGTACAAAAAGGCAATGTGGTACCATGGCTGCAGATTCCTAGCTTCAAATCCTATAGCCCTCAGTCTTTGCTTCCTGATCTCTGAAACAGACAAACCCATGCACCCCACCTAGGGTGGAGTCAAGGACTGAATGAGTGAACTTGAGGACCGTGCACAGCACTTGGCAGACGCTGACAAGCATCAGTCTCTACGGATCGGCATCGAGGAGTCTGAGATCACCATGACTCTTACTGGAGTTATGGGTACTGGAGACTCAGGCTCCAGTCCCAGCTCTCAAGCTGGGTAGCTCAGGACAATGCCTCCCTCACATGTGAAGACAGCATTCCCTGCCTGCCTCACAGGGCTGTTGGGGGGAGAATTACAGTCAAGAATTACATACAGGAAGTCCTGCGCACACGGACTGGCATGTGGCTAGAGCACTAGGCCAATGACTGGTGCTTACCCCCCCTGCCAGGGATGGCTACAAACCTTTTTACAATTATTAACACAAAACTAACTGTCTGTAACATCTGACCTCCCACAGACTCACAGGCTAAGTAAGCGCTGAGGTCTGCATCATGTAACCCTCATGATCGAAACCACTGGCAGCTCCATTTTCCAAATGGGAAAACCAAGGTCCAAGGAGGCTAAAATTCTTGCTAAGCATGTGCTGGCGAGATGACTCAGAGGATGAAAGTGCTTTCTGTGCAAGTTTAACAATCTGAGTTCAGTTCCCAGATGGCATAGTGGAAGGAGAGAATCAACTCCTGAAAGTTGTCCTTTGATCTCAAAATGGGTGCACAGAACACACATGCCTTTTCTTTCTTTTTATTTATTTCTTCCTTCCTTTCCTCCTTTCTTTCCATCCTTCTCTTTTTCTTTCTCTCTCTGTCTTTCACACACATAATAAAATAAAATTGTGAAAAAAAAAAAAAAAAGCTGGGCATGGTGGTGCATGCTTATAATCTCAGTACTCGAGAACCTGAGGCAGATGGTCTCACTATGTAGTCCTGGCTGGCCTTGAACTCAGAGATGGCAGAAGGACCTTGAGTTCAAATCATGGCAACATAGCAAGACACTGTCTCAAAAAAACAAAAACAAGAAACAAAAATCTTGCTCACAGTTTCTCAGTCAGTAAATGGCAAAACTGTGGTGTGGTATGATCTTGACTGTCCACATACAGAGACAGAAGATGAACCACTATGTAGTCCTGGCTGGCCTTGAACTCAGAGATGGCAGAAGGACCTTGAGTTCAAATCATGGCAACATAGCAAGACACTGTCTCAAAAAAACAAAAACAAGAAACAAAAATCTTGCTCACAGTTTCTCAGTCAGTAAATGGCAAAACTGTGGTGTGGTATGATCTTGACTGTCCACATACAGAGACAGAAGATGAACCCCACTTTTGCAGATTCTTTTTTTTTTTTTTTTTTTTTTTTTTTTTTTTTACAGGGCTCCTTGAAAAAAAAGAGGACGATAAATCTTTGTAGGCCAGGCTGGCCTTGAACTCACAGAGATCTGCCTGCCTCAGCCTCCAGAGAACTGGGATTAAAGGCGTGTGCCACCATGCCCAGTTTGCAGACTCTTTTTTTTAAAAAAATATTTTTATTTATTATTTTTATTTTATGTGTATGCATGTATTGCCTGTGTGTAGGTAAGTGCACCCGTGTCGGGCAGTGCCTGCTGAGGACAGAGGAAGCTGTCAGATCCCCTGGGACTAGAGTTATGGACAGTTGTTAGCTGCCATGTGGGTGTTAGGATTCAAACCCAGGTCTTCTGCAAGAACAACCAGTGTTCTTAACCACTGAGCCATCTCTCCAGCCCCCTCCTGCAGACTCTTTTAGCCACCCCAGACCCTAAAACTTATATGCACAAACATCTACTTCAAGCTGGTATCCCCCTGCTCCCAAATCCTGCTCCAAAGTTTGGCCCAGGGACCATCCCATTTCTCCCCACTTCCTCAGATGCCCCCTCCCAGGGACCATAGGCCCCGGTTCTCTTCTGTAGCTCTACTGTGGTCTCCTCTTCCAGCTAAGGTGACCCCCTCCCCCCATCCGCTTCTGCCCCCAGCTGGAGCTCAGCGATATCTGAGAAGCGCTGACCTAGCAGCCCAAGGATTCCTCCAGTCTTTGTGGAACGTGGGGACGTGCCTGTGTCTCCCACCCCCTGTTGCCCAGGGCAAGTGCTGGCCAGCACAGGAGGCAGCTGGGCACAGCACTAAGGAGCCCTGACAGGAGTGACCCCAACACCACCCCAAGAAGGGGAGGAGTCGAACAGGCCCTAGCCACAGAAATACTGGCCAGCTGGACCATGGGCCTTGCCCCTGTCCTCCCTACATCTCTCCCAGTGCACAGCCCCACACACCAAACTCTGGCCCACAATGGGGCAAGACAGAATGGGTTCACACCATCTCTGGATTGTTCCCAAACTGGACTGATTATTTTTCCCAGAACCTGGGTTCAGAGGCTGGGAATAGAGAGTAGGAAACTGGGAGGCGGCTTTGGTGGGGCCCTGGTCCTACCCCATGCTTCATCTTTCTGCATGCTAGTGAGGTTAACATTCTCAGTAATCCATTATTTATCTTCTGTGTGATAGATAGCAGCCTGATTGGAGAGCCAGCACTGGTTCAAGGTCACACAGAGAGTGCAATGATGAGGGAGCTAGATTGCAAGTCTGTCTGATACAGGTCTGTCTGATATAGCCTACTAGGTTGAGAAGATGGTTCAGTCAGTAAAGTGCTTACTGCACAAGCATGAGCATCTGAGTTCAGATCTCCAGCACCCATGTAAAACAAAAAGCCAGTGTGGTTCTATAACCCTAGCTCTGGGGACACAGAGATGGGTAGATCCCCAGAGCTGGCTGCCCAGCCAGTCTACCCGGTCAATGAATACTGGATTCTATGAGAGACCCTGTCTCAAAAGACAGGTGGTGAATAATCAAGGAAAACATCTTACATGGACCTATGTCCTCCACATACCTGCACACATGTGTCTGCGCACGTGTCTACACACACCCCTACATACAAAATCAGATACATTAAACACATAAATATGATGGATGGCTCCTAAGGGACAATACCTGAGGCTGATCTCTGGTCTTCATATGTACATATATGCACCTGCACACACAGACACACACCACACACACACATTCGAATATAGTCTACAAGCTTGGCATGGTGGACATCTGTAATCACAGCACTTGGGAACCTGAGGCAAGAGGATTGCTGGGAATTCCAGGCCAGCCTGGACTAGAAATAGTAATAGTGAGTTTCAGGCCAGTCTGTGTTACAGAATAAGCCCATGTTAAAAACAAAAAAAAACAACCAACCAAACAAACAAAAAAACATAAAAACACACTAACACAAATGAATGACAAACAAAAAGACGGCCTCGGAACCAGCAGCGTTCCTTGGAGCTCGTCTCAAACAGATTCCCAAGCTGCATTCTAGAGCTGCCCCATCAGATTCTCTGGTGGTGGGACCCAGAGTCTGTTTTAAAAACTTTTACTGATTATTAAGCATTACATTTTGAGCCTCAAAATGTTATATGACTGGGTGAAGTCATATAACATTACCATTTCAGGGAGTGGGGCCCTGAAGATAGAAATTTGTTTGTGTTTGTTGTTGGGTTTTTTTTTTTTTTCTTTTTTTGGTTTTTTTTGAGACAGGGTCTCCCTGTAGCCCCGGCAGTCCTGGATTCACCACGGAGACCAGGCTGGCCTCGAACTCACAGAGATCGCCAGCTTTTGCCTCCTGAGTGCTGGGATTAAAGGCGTGGGACACCACGCCCGGCTGTTGTTTTTTCAAGACAGAGTCTCACTATGTAGCTCTAGCTGGCCTGGAACTTGCTACATAAATCAGGCTGGCCTGGAACAGAGATTCTCTTGCCTCTGCCTCCTGAGTACTGAGATTAAAGCCATGTGCCACCACACCCAGCTGTTGGCATTTTGAGATGGGGTTTTGCTATGGAGTCCAGGCTTTCTTCAAATTCATGGAGATCCTCTTGTTTAGCTTCCTGAACATTGGGATTACAGGCCTGTACCACCGTGTATGTCTAGCTCTAGAGATCTAAACACCAGCAATTTCGTTTAGCTCTACCTAACAGGAACAAGGCCTGCTTTTGACAGCTAAAGAGGAAGTGGAGGAAGTGTACATGCCTCATGCATTTCCTGGGCCACAGTGGGGAAGCTCCCCAGGTAGCTTCACTTACCACCAAGTTGCCGATGACCATGACCATGAGAAAGACAGTGAGGCACATGGCCTGGCCAGCCACCTCCATGCAGTCCCACATGGTCTCGATCCACTCCCCACAGAGGATGCGGAAGATGATGAGGAAGGAGTGGAAGAAATCGTGCATGTGCCAGCGGGGCAGGGTGCAGTCCAAGGCAATCTTGCATACACATTCCTTGTAGCTCTTGCCAAATAGCTGCATGCCCACCACAGCGAAGATGAAGACGATGATGGCCAGCACCAGTGTCAAGTTGCCCAGTGCTCCCACTGAATTGCCAATGATCTTAATGAGCATGTTGAGGGTAGGCCATGACTTGGCCAGCTTGAAGACACGCAGCTGCCAGGCAGGGAGAATAAAAGGGTGAATGAGGCCTGTGGACCACCAGCCAACCCCAGGGAGCCCCAGGAGAAAGAGTAATGAGTGATGAGGTGTCAGTGTGCCTCTGATAAATGGAGATGCTTGTGCCCTACCACATCCTGCTCTCCATGTTAAAAAGAAAAAAAGTTCTTATTGATTGAGGATACATACAGACTAAAGCATTTACAAGTGAAATTATATATCTGAATTTCCTTTAACATACTCCCCAAACAGAAACTGCTGGGATAGATGAAATAAAAACTGCAGAATGTAGAGCTAGAGGGATGGCTCAGCAGTTAAAAGCACTTGCTGCTGCTTCAGAGGACCTGAGTTTGGTTCCCAGTGCCCATATTGGACCACCCACAACTGCCTGTAACTCTAGTTTCAGGGGACCTGACAACCTCTTCTGGCCTCCACAAACACCCAGTGGCATGAGGCATACAGATACACATACATACATTTAAAAAATAATTGCAGAATACTGGTGGTTGTTGGAGGTCCTGGGGCTATTGTTTTGGTCCCCACCACAGTCTGTGTGATAAGGAGAGAGGGCTCTCTCTCTCTCTCAGTTTACAAGTAAATGCTGTAAGAGGCCACATGGCAGGCACAGGGCAGGTGGGTCCTCATTTTTAGCCTTTTGGTCCCTTAGGGTGTCTCCTCCCATTCTCAGCCCCTGGGCCTCATGTACCAGACGGAAGGAGCGGAGCACTGACAGCCCTTGCACGTTGGCCAGGCCCAGTTCCACCAGGCTGAGGGTGACAATGAAACTGTCGAAGATGTTCCAGCCCTGCTGGAAATACTCGTAGGGGTCCATGGCGATCAGCTTCAGCACCATCTCTGCTGTGAAGATGCCTGTGAAGACCTAGGGTTGGGGATAGAGTCCCTGTCACTGAACCTCAAGGAGACTCCCCTCTCCCACCTCCTGGTAGAAGCTTTGGGGATTGAGGGATAGGGGTTCAGGGCACTGAAAGGGGCAGGAAGTACTATCCATGGTCCATGTATGTGTAGTCTGAATAACAGGTGCAAAGATCATGTCATAGGTATAGGTGGGTACAACACAGGCCCATTTCCATCCATTTCTGATCTTGTGACCATGGACAAGTCACTAACTTCTTGGGTCTTCAACCTAGTAGTCAACATTCATGGGGTGCTATCTGGTTTACACTATGACTTCACTGGCATGCTGTTCTCTATGAAGCTGGAGGGATTATCACACTCATTCCACAGATGATAGATCGAGGCTGAGAGAGATGCACACCCAGCCTCACAGTCATGCCATCCAGTTCCTAGGGTACTTAGTTCAAGCTTCCCCCGTGCTGTGAGTCTCTCTGCTGGGTCTAGACCCAGGATCTAGCAAGCTTTGTCTTTTGTTTTTAAAACAGGATTTCATGTAACCTAGACTGGTCTTGAACTTACTATGTAGCCAAGGACTTTGAACTTCTGATCTTCTTTCCTCTACCTTCCAAATGCTGGGATTTCAAGTATATATTCTACCATACCCAGTTTTATTTAGTTCTGGGATTGGAACCCAGGGATTCATGCATGCTAGGCAAACACACTAGCCACATCCTAAACCCAGCTAGCAAGCTTTAGTGGATTCAAGGTCTAGGGTAGGGACGGAAAGTGGCAAAATCAACAAGAAGGCCAGAGCTGCCTCTTCAACCTCAGAACAGATACCTGGATCTGGGCCCCTCCTACCAGGCACCAGCTGCCCTGGGTCCAACCTGCCTGGCCATATGTTGGGCCTTTCCCAGAGGCTGTCCTTGACCATAGCAGATGCCCAGAAAAATGCATAGTGTGGGCACAGGCTGGGCAAGCAAGTAGGCCCTGCCCATCACACACACCTTGGCAGCTGTGCTATGAGTCTGCAGCATGTCCCTGCCCCCACTTGCCCAGACTAGTCATGGCTGTCTTGGGCATCTTCACAGGATAGACATGCTTGCCTTGAAGAACGGAGAGTCCAGGAGCTTCTATCTCATGCCACCCACCCAGTGTTGGCCCTGCTGAAGCCTCCCTCACATCTTGCATATCTCTCGCCCCTCCCTGGGGGGTGAAGAGAGTTCCTTGTCCATTTTCCATGACTAGCTGGGTGGGGTTGGAACTGTAAAGGGGTTTGAAAGGACCCGGCAGGGTGGGGCAGGGCTGGAGGAGGCGGCTTTTCCCTTTGTCAGGCTCTACTGGGGCTGGCAACGAGGTGCTAATGCTCCTAATGGGCAGGGATAAGCGGGAGGATCAGTGCATGTCAACAATAGCTGAGCAGCAAAGGGCTAGGGAGACAGCAGTTCGGTGAGGCTGGAGAAATGGGGGTTCCTAGGGTGAGTGGGGGTCCTTTGTACCTCGATGTCTCTGGCTATATGCTCCCACTCCCAGGTCCCTTAGTCCCTTTCAGGTTCATGACAGTCTATGAAAGTTGAGAATCTTGGTTTTTTGTGTTTTGGTCTTTTTGAGACAGAGTCTCCCTATAGCCCCAGGTGGCCTGGAACTCACTATGTGGACCAGGCTGACCTTGAGCTCACAGAGATCCACCTGCCTCGGCCTCCTGAGTGCTGAGAGTAAAGGTGTTTGTCATCAAGACTGGCTGAAAGTTGAGAATCTTGTTATCCAGCCCCACCTCCACACCTCTATTGCCTATTCCCATACTCCTATTCCCTCTAGGAGTCCTGGTCTCCCCCTAACCCCTACTCTCCCTGTTCTCAAATACCCTGAAGCCCAAATGCAATACCCCATATATCACTGCATGTACCTCTCTTAAACAACCCACACCCCTCTATAGCTGGGAAAAACACCAGTTGCCCCCACATGCCCTCATAGTACCCTATATTTCCACACAGCCCAGACAGTCCACTTTCCTGTTCTGCCCCCAGATGATAGTCCTCTCCTTCTATCCCTTCCTTACCAGGTTGCCCACGGAGAGCACATTGTCAAAGTGTTCAGTCATGGGGTAATGCTCCATGGCCATGAAGAGGGTATTGAGCACAATGCAGATGGTGATGCCTAGGTCCACGAAGGGGTCCATGACGATCAGGTGGATGATGTGCTTGAACTTCACCCACGGGGCACAGCAGTTCCATATGAGCACTTTGTGTGCACACTTGTACCACCATGGTGGACATTTCTGGTGGGCCTCTTCCAGCTCTGGAGGTGGGGTTGTAGCAGGTGCCTGATGAGGATTTCTTGCCTTGCTTCTCTTTTTCCACCTAGATCTTTGATCCCCCTTCCAAGTTCCACCCTGTAGCACTCCACATCTCAACACTCCAACCACTAACAAGGCCTTTTCCAAGCTCTCATACCTATCAGGGTGTCCCAGCACTGTAATCTTCCCTATAGACTGCCTCATAGGGTCTCACCTATCAAAGCCCCACCCCTCCTGAATTGTAAAAGCCCACCTTCTCAGAAAGGCCTTCTTCAAACCCTACCCCATGACAGCATGTCAGCATGTCACTTTCAAGACCAGCCCCTTCAAAATCCTGACCATAAGCCCCATCCCTTAAAGCCCGGACCTCTCAGAGCTCAGAGCCTCAAGGCACACTTCTTTGGCAAGCCTTCCCCCAAGGCCATCTTCAGTGTTCTAATTAAAGTCCAGTCTTCTTGCCACACCCCACAGAGCCCCACCCTTAATGAACTGAAACTGAGCTCAAGAGTCTCTGTCAGCCGATTTGCAATTCTAGCAGGGGAGAGAGATGCCCTGGTCTCTGGTTGGGTATCAGACTCTTCAGAGAAAGATGGGCACCCATTTTAGAGGATCAGTTCCAGGTGGTGCTGACCAGCATCTGGGGTCACACCCTCTGTGGGGACCTTCCTCCTACTGCCAGTAACACAGGTCACTCCAGACTGGCCCCAGGCAGAGACACGTTTCCCTCTAGAGTGGTTTTTCTGGACACCCCTATTCTTGCTACCCCAGAGTCATGGGGTTTATGAGATGGAGTTGCTCTTTACCCAGTGTGACCAAAGGGAACGACCTCCCCCTAGACAGCTCTGAGTACTCAGTGGAAGGTTGAGAGACAAACACTGTTAGCACCACCCATTTTGCAGATGAAAGAAAGGGACTAGGACCCCCAGTCCCATCCAGGAATTAAAACATGAACCTCTTTCACAGGCTGTCTCCAGGCTAGTCTGCCCATGCTACTGTAGGTACCCTGAGGCCTGGAGCTTGTGACAAAGGGCAAAAGAAGGGGTGAAAGGCTTCTTGGGCCAGCTCAGCCCAGCATTCCCTGGAGCATTCTTTGGCTGGGCACAGGCACCTGGATGCATAGTACAAGGTCAGGTGAGATGCTGCCCTCTAAGGGTCCCAAAGAGCCACGGACTCTGCTTTTTGCAGAAGGCAAGCTGTCTTGGAGAGGGACTGGGTCTCTTCTCTTAGTCAGAATTTCTTTCTTCTTTCCTCTTCATTTCTCCCTTCTAGATTTCTGTTGCTCCTTTCTCCTTTCCTCCCTCCCTTTCACCTTCCTCTCACCCCATCTGTGTCTGTCTCTTTCCATCCTGTAATCTGTCTGCCCACCCTTCATCTACCCTTCTTTGTTACTGTCTCCTTATTTTCCTGAGACCTTGTCGGGGCACAGGACTTGTGGGGAGCCTGTGATTTTACCTGGGCAACTTAACTGTTGGCCTTTTACCCAGAGGGCACTGAAGCAGCAGGCTTTCTAGTTTCTGGATCATCAGACCTTCCTGGATAGTATTATTAGCCTGTTGCCTTGGCAGCCCCCAGAGCCCTCCTGGAAGCCCCTGGTTTCTGCAATGGCCCGGCCTTGCAACCAGAACTGGGCCAGGTTGAGAAGACTATATTTATTCCAATTTATTTATTCGGTGCCAATATTAAGTTACCGCCCTTCTGAAGTAGAGTTCATCCAGACCCCAACCTGACCCTCAGGAGGTCAAGTGGCCTGGTGGGCAGAGCAGGGAAAGTAGGAGAGGGTGGAGTCTGGGACACTTACCCTCCATAGCATCCGAGATGCCACTGTCTGCACTGCAGCTTGGCCTCGGGGGTCCTTTCTCCCCGGCTGATGTGTCCAGGCTGCCATTACAGTCTTTGCTGTGGGCTGGGTCCCCATCTACCTCCCCATCTTCCAGAGCCTGGACAGCCTTGGCCTGTAGATCAACAAGGATGATGGGTGAGAAGTCTCACTCTGAGCCAGGAGAATGGACTCATTGACTCTCAGGGCCTCACTGAGCCTTTTGGATGGTAAATTTTTTTCTTGATTTATGCTAAACCTAGAGCATGTAGGGAGGGGGTAGCCCTCAATGGTGATGGAGTGACAGGGTAAGAACAAGGTGACCGAGAACCCTTGGCCCTGAAGACCCTCAACTCTAATATACTGATGTACCCTATACTTCATGACCAGTGAGAAAGTGGGCAGTGCTCTGTGCGTCATCTGGGAACCTGCTTCTGCCTCAACATGCACCCAGAAATAAGCACAAAGCTATAGGCTCTTAATCTAGAGGAAACTTCAAGTTTCACTATTCCAGATTCCTTTCCATAGATGGGGAAACTGAGGGAGAGAGCAGAAATATACTCTTTGAGATGGGGTTTTGTTGTATTAGCCCCAGCTGGTCTGGAACTCACTGTGTAGACCAGGCTGGCTTCAAATTCACAGAGATCCACCTGCATCTCCAACCCAAGTACTGGCATTAAAGGTGTGTGCCACCACGTCCAGCTGAGATATATCTTCTTTCTACTGTCTGGATGGTATCCCTTCCATTGATGCCCCTCAACCTAGGGCCTTCTGCTGCTTCTGCTCCACCCTTCCCTCTTGCCCCTCTTCCTCATCCCAGCCTGCCTAGGAGAAGCCAGTGTTCAGGTAGTCCAGACCAATGGTAGAGGGACCCTTGGGTCCTCACTCCCTTACTTCCTGCCTGGGTCCACACCTTTTCTAGCTCTTCCTGGTGTTTTTTGAATTTTTCAAGCATCTGCTGAAACTCTTCCTCTTTCTCCTGGTCCTCAGCTAGGGTGGCCTCATTCTGCTCAGCGTACGCCATGGCCACCACTGCCAAGATCAGATTGATGAGGTAGAAGGAGCCCAGGAAGATGATGACCACGAAGAAGATCATGTAGGTCTTGCCAGCTGCTCGAAGGGTCTGGGCATGGGGAGAGAAGGAAGGAGGGGCCTCATGGCAGCCAGTGGGCTCCTCTACGTACCCACTGCCCAGACAGATAAGTGGAAGAGGGGTCCCTCACAGAGCCTGGAGATTTGAGGGGTCTTTGAGACAAGGTGTGGCCATCCTTAGCAGACTAAGCCACATCCTAGGAAACTTCAAAATATATGTGAGGCACTTAGGTGTTTCTGGTGTTCCGACTCAGAACTTTGAGGAGTCCAGCAAGGCATCTTGAGATGAATCAGGAGAGACAAATAGGAAACATGGGCTTCAGAGTCAGTTTGAATCCTGCCTTTGCCACAGATCCTGGTACCTGGTAATCATTCAACTAACAGTAGACCTATGATTATTAGTGTTATTATTAACTTTGTTAGAAATGCTGCCAAAGAGCAGAAGACACTGTTATTCAAACTCCACCCACCTGCCATACAAGCAGTAGACATTAAGTGCAGGTGTACTTTGGGTATCCAGGGAATTGATCCCTTGGATACTAAAATCTGTAGATGCTCAAATCCCTTATATGAAAGACTGTCTGTAGTATTTGCATCTAACCTAGGAACATCCTCCCTTGTCTTTACATCATATCTAGATTACCTATGATATCTAATGCAATTTAAGTGCTATGAAAACAGTTGCTAGGCTCTTATTTAGTGAATAACCATCTTTTCTCACAGAAGGTCTGCGTATATCCAGAAAAGTTCTTCAGCATAGACATAATTTCCTTCTGGAACATTTCTCTTTCTTTTGTATAGTGTGAGGATTGAATTTATGATCTTGTGCATGGTAGGCAAGTGCTCTACCACTTAGCCAAATCTCTAACTCTTTCTTTCCAATCCGTAGTTGATTGAATCTAGAGGTAAATCCACAGATACAGAGGGTCACCTATAATTGTGCGGCAGAGTTGAGTTTCTCAGCTGTTCTATTGGTTTCTTTGAAGCTTAGAGATTTCTGAGCCTAAGACTATATCAGGGCCAGACCCCCAGATCATAAAGCAAAGGTAGAGAAAGGAAAAAGACTATGGTTTAGCTCTGGCCAGATACCTCTAAGAGCCCATAGCAGGACTCAACAAGATGGTGCAGTGGGGGACCTGGTCATCATGGAATAAGCCCTGTGAGTCCCTTAGGAGCCGTGGGAATGGAGGGGTGTATCTTTGGGGCTAAAGGGCAGAGTGGGGTCAGCTGTACCAGTTGGAAGAGGTTTTCCCAATAGTCCTGGGTCATGAGACGGAAGAGAGCCAGAAAGGCCCAACTGAAGGTGTCATAGCTGGTGTAGCCATAGTTGGGGTTCCTCCCAGTCTTGATACACTCGTAACCCTCAGGACAGTGCCTAGGGGTAGGAAGTGGGGGCTATCTTTAGGGAGAGAGGAGAGCTCCAGCTGAGGACAGATGCAGGACTCCAAGGGGGGAAATACCCCATAGTTCTGCATATGTTCTCCAAACATGAAAGTCTCCCAGTCATGCCTGTAGGGTGTTTCCATATACACCCAACGACCCCAGATCTTTGTCCCTAATGAGCCCCCATTTCCCAGGATCTCTGAGGCATCCCCCCAATGCATCACTCACCCGGCATCACTGCTGTTTCCACAGAGCAAAGCATCATTGGCACCCTCTAAGAAATAGAAGTTTCCTTTGGGAATAAGAGGCCACAAAGAAGACATGTCACCCAGTGTGAATGCACTGTGAACACAAGCATGCATTGTACACCCATGGACAGATCTGTGTCCCCAAAGATACCACATGAATATTTCCTGGGGGCCTCTCCCCTCCTTTAAGAACAGTTACAAGCTCCATGGTCTCCAGTGGGTACAAGGGCTTCAGCTCCAAGACATATCAGCTTGGAATCTTAGTACGGTTATGAAGTTATGAGTCAGCAGGGGCCCAAGAAGAGTCAAAGGGAGCATGTCTGTGTGTGCATGGGGCTATCACGTACCTGCTCAGGACCCTTAACTGTGGGCCTAGTGAGGGCTAGAATCTAAGAACCACAGTGAAAGAGGGGTACCAGTCCGATAAGTAGACACCATGTGAACGAATAGTGGTTGTGTGCGAATGTGTGTACGTTTTGTGTGTGCCCAGGAAGGACAGTGTATGAACAGAATGTGCCTGGTGGCAGTTCTGAGAGGGAGGGAGCACAGTGTAGGGAAGGAGAACAGGGTGTCCAAGGTAGGCAGTAAGGATGATGGACTGTCACTTTGTATACCTAGAGCCTCAAGATTTTGTGTGTGTGTGTGTGTCTGTGTCTGTGTCTGTGTCTGTGTCTGTGTAATCTTGGGTGTTATCCCTTGGGATCACTGTCTACCTTGGTTTTTTGAGTCTCTCATTGGGACCCTGGGGCTCACCAATTAGACAGGGCTGGTTAGCTAGCTGACCAGTGAGCCCCTGGGATCTGCCTGTTTCCACTATCCCAGTGCTGGAATTATAGGCAGGTACCACCATGCCTGCCTTTTTACATGGATTCTGAGGATTGAACTGGGGTCTTCAATCTTGTACAGCAAGTACTTTATGGACTGAGCTATCTCCTCAGCCCCAACAGCCTCAGGAATTTTAAAGCAATGTGTCATTGTCACAGTAACCTTTTGAGGGAGGTTTTGTCATCTCAGTTTAATAGAAGAGGATTCTAAGGGTCATGACTGAGCAACGTGCTGAAGGCTACCTGGACTGGTTTGTGATGGATTTAAACTGTGTCTTCACCAAAGAGAAGCAACTGAGGAAGGGACTGCTCAAGGGTGGGCTTCCCCTAACCCACCCACCTTCCTTCTCACCTTCGTCATTGATGTAGGCATCCCAGTCAAATGTATAGTTGCTGGCCCAGCTCTCCTGGCTGTTCCAAGTGTCATTGCCATACCACGTGTCGTTGCTGTGCCACGTGTCATTACCAGACCATGTGTCATTGCCGTACCATGTGGTGTTCGTGTCATTGAAGGGTGGAGGCCAGCGTACACACTTCTGCCTCAGGTTTCCCATGAAGAGCTGTAGCCCCACCAGGGCGAAGACACTCAGGCAGAAGACGGTGAGGATCATCACATCTGAAAGCTTTTTCACTGACTGGATCAGGGCCCCCACAATTGTCTTCAGCCCTGGCCATGGAGAAGGTAAGAATATCAACAGGGGTGGGTAGGATAGTAAGGACCTCCAGACTGACCCCCTTCCCACGCCTCAGTCAATTCCCTCTCCAAGGCTGGACTCACTCTTCGCTACTTCTCCCTGAAGGCTCCCCATGTTAACCCCACCCTGGAGTGCTTCCTCACTGTGGAGCTTGGCTTTGCATGGGGAGAATGACCTGTAAGATTCAATGCATTGCTGCAGAACTACATAAAGGCATACAGAGAAATTTAGTAAATGTCACTAGGTTAGCAGACCAACGTGTGTTCTCCAGACCACTCAGTTCTTAAGCTGTGCCCTTAAAAAAAGGAGAGCCGCCGGGCGTGGTGGTGCACGCCTTTAATCCCAGCACTCGGGAGGCAGAGGCAGGCAGATCTCTGTGAGTTCAAGGCCAGCCTGGTCTACATAGTGAGTTCCAGGACAGTTGGGGCTACAGGGAGACCCTGTCTCAAAAAGACAAAAAAAGAGGAAAAAAAAGAGCCATAGTGTTTGAAAAGGGCGATGCCCTATTATTTTTAGAGAAGCATTGTTCAGTGAACTGTTTAATTTCTCCTCATACTTTGCAGTGCTGGAGTTTGAACTCAAGCCTCACAAATACAAGGCAAGCAATCAACTACTGAGCCACACCTCCAGCTCTTCTGGTTTGTGTGTGTGTGTGTGTGTGTGTATATATATGTATGTATGTTTGTGCATGTATTACATATTTTTTGAGACAGAGTGTATGTAGCCCAGGCTGGCCTCAAATTTAGTATCCTTTGCCTCCCTGTTGCTAGGATTACAGGTATGGGCCTCCATACTGGGCTTTTCTGCATGTTTTTTTGAGTAGCTGAATGGACCATTTTCTGTGAACCTCATTATTTCTTTTAAAAAAATTATTTCATTTATGTGTGTGTATGTGTTTGTGTGTGTGTGTCAGTGTGTATTTATGTGCAGGTGCATGGAGGTGATTGCGGAGGTCAGAAGAGGGTGTCACATTCCCTGGAGCTGGAGTTACAGACAGTTGTGAGCTGCCTGATGTGGGTGCTAGGAACTGAACTCCAGTTCTCATGATTATGCAGCAAGGGCTCTTAGCCACTGAGCAATCTCTCCAGTCCCTGGTTCTTCTTGATACATGACTTTGGGATTGCCCTTCTTTATTTTGGGGTGAGGATAATATGTTCCTCACTGAGCACTGAGCTCTGGGGCTTTCTTCCCTCCTTGGAATCTCTCTCAGGAGGAATGCTTTGCTTGTCTGATCTCCTTGCATCTCTTTTAGGTGTAGTTCTTAGTTTGACAAACATCCCATGGGCCAGTTGCTGTGCTAAACACCTTATAGACAATGAAGAGTTAGTCATCATAGCACTCCAATGTGTCCAGTAAGGAAACTGAGGCATAGCCAGATTAAGTCACTTGCCTAAGGTCAGTGGCAGAGGGAAGACTTGAACCCAGGCTCTCTGGCTGCAGAGTCTGTGCTTATTCACCTTGATATTCTGTCTCTCAAATGCCCAGCCTCCCACCGTGGGCCCTTTCTGCTCAATGGCCACATGGACCTCTGTGTGTCCAGGCTATGGTATGTGTCCTACACAAATGTATGCCCAAGAATGTTGTAAATCTAGATTAGGTTCCAAGAACGTGGGTATAGAGTTCTAGGCCTGGGCATGGAGAGGGTTCCTGTTGGCCTAGGCAAAGGGTCCCCACACCTCCCAATACCTGGGATGACTGTGATGGTTTTCAGGGCCCGCAGCACACGGAAGGTCCTCAGGGCTGAGATATTTCCCAAGTCCACAAACTCTGTCACGTACCTGAGTGAGAAGTTGAGGTGTGAGAGAGAGATTGGGTGGGAGATGGGGTAGTATTCAGGTTTCTCTGCATCCGGAATGAGTATTCCCAAGAAATCCTTGTAATTGAGGCTACCACAGGGAGTGAAGAGAGGTTAGACACCCCCAAAGTTCCTACCAGAGCCCAGGTTGGGAAGGTATAGTGCTGGGCTTTGCTGCTAGACAGTAGAAGGGTAAAGATAGCCCAGCTCACCCACTGGGCAAAGGCTATGGGGTTGTACAGTCAGGTTGCCTCCTGAGTTACACAGAGTATGGGGAAGACACATCAGCAGAGCCTCTGAGTGGGCCCCTGGCAATGCCCTAGATGGTCTGCACAACTGATCAATGGTCCTGCCCCCCAACTCTCCTGTTGGCTTTCTGTTTGAGGCTTGACCTCCTTGTTCACCCATCCCAGTCTCAGGACACCCCCAGGTTCTTGCTCACGCCATTGTGATGACACTGAAGTCCAGCCAGTTCCAGGGGTCCCGGAGGAATGTGAAGTCGTCGATGCAGAAGCCTCGGGCCAGCATCTTGATGAGGGACTCAAAGGTATAAATCCCTGTGAAGGTGTACCTAGCAAGGAGAGGGCCATACAGGGCCAAGCATAGTGTGTGTGTGTGTGTGTGTGTGTGTGTGTGTGTGTGTGTGTGTGCGCGCGCGTGTGTGCGCTTGTGTAGTACCTTGCAAGAGGAGGGCCACCAAGATGAACTGTCACCCAGGGGCTAAGTATATTGGTAAGGGTGATAGCATGGATCCCAACCCAAAGGCAGGGGGCTTAAGATGTTAAGTGTCACAGGGACAGTGTGTCTCCCCTGAAAGACAAGAGCAGTGTCACTCTGAGCATCCTCAGAGGGGCAGACATCCGGGACAGGGGAGCTCAGGGAGGGGACTTACTCCACGTCCTTAGACCAAGAAGGTGGGTTGCTCATGGTCATGAACACACAGTTGGTTAAGATGGTGATCATGATGAACATGCTGAACAGCGTGGAAGTGGGTTAAGGAAAGCAAGGGAGCAGCTGGGAAGAGGAGGGGACAGAGATGCTCCTGGCCCAGAGTACCCCATTCTGCCCACCCCTAACCTCCCCGCCTCTTCTAATTGAGCAGGATATGCGTGGATGAGCACCTTGATGGCCACACGCCTGACGATGCTGAAGGGGCTCAGCATGTATAGGGCAGGTGTGGCAGAGAAGCGGAAGATGGCCTTGCCCTTGTTGAGCACGATGAAGGTCTGAAACGGAGAGGGCCCATGAGGTCGAGGCACAGACAGACAGACACACAGTAGACACAGATAGAGGGAGCCCCACCCCACCCCCACCCCCATGCCCAGACCTTCTTGTCATTGTAGTAAGGATCCAGGTCCTCCAGAGGGATGCCAATGACCTCTGGTGGGGGATCCCCATAGATGAGTGGCAAGCTCTTGCCAGCTTCAAGGTCACTGCGTGGCTTCCGCTCAGTCTCCTCGATTTCCATCTGCTTGTTCCGCTGCAGCCTGGCCTCCTCCTCCACTGCCCGCTGCTCTATGGCTGCCAGAGACTCTGGAGTGAAGGGGCGCAGGCAGTGGGGGCCCAGGGGCACCAGGGTGGGCAGAGATGAGCTGGCCATCCTTGCATTCTGGGTTCAGGGGCCAGGAGGGTGGCAGGCAGCCGGGCAGCTGCAGCCCGCAGTCCTGGGATGCTGGCTGGCCACTGATGCCCTGGGCCTGCTGTCTACTCCTCACTTCCTGCCTGTCCAGGGGCTGGGCCAGGGAGGTGGGTATACAGGTCTCGTTGGGGCTATGAGATGTTCCTGCAAGGCCTGCGTGCTGCTGCTGCACAGGTGCTGGGCACAGAGCATCCCCCACCCCAGGCCCTGAGGTGCACTCTCCCCAGTAGTAGGATGCGCCACCTTCAGGACTGACACCAAACCAACCAGATCTTCTTCAGCCTTGGCGACTTGTGGCCAATACCCCAATACCCTGAGCTGCCTCCTGTGCTCAAACTTCAGGAACTGTGTGGCTGCAGCGGCGGGGAGGGTGGGGGGGCAGGGAAGGGAGGGAGAGAGAGAGAGAGAGAGAGAGAGAGAGAGAATTACTGGCTATATCCATGTGACCTCTAGATAAGCTAAGATGAGGGTCTGGTAGGATTAGCCTAAAGCTGCACTAGAAAATGAATTTCATCTTGGAGATCACATGGATTGGCTGATACTGGCTAGCTGGAAATAGAGGTGGAGACCATTGAGGTTTTAGCTAGACTCAGTGCAAAAAAATAGCTGTGTGATTGGTGATGTCTGCCAGGGGCAAACTCAGAAGAATGTGGGCTCTCTGTATTTGCTGTTCTTTTTTCTTTTTCTTTT